TGGATAAGGGGAAACTACTGTACCTAGGTGATTGGTATTGGGTAAGTCACCAATAAGAAGGGTATTGTTGTTTGTATCTGCAAGATGAGAGTATTGGACTAGGTGGAATGATTCAGGTTTCTTTTCATTATTAGAGTTCTCTTCATTCTGTGTTCTGTTCTGTAACATGGTATCAGAAACTTTTTTATCTTAATTTTTTATTTTAAATAATTTAAAATACTCCTTGAAGTAGATAGAACAGTACAATGAACACCCAGGGACCCATCAAACAATCTCAACAGTCACCACTCCATGGCCAGTCATACTGCTTCTATACTTCCATCCACTTATCCCTCTCCTGTGTTATTTCAAAACAAATCCCAGACATTAGACTGTCTTTATTAAGATGATCCCTCTGTCATCTGTATTATTCGCACCTTGAGGTCTTAAAAATTTTATTTAGATTTTAACAAGACTCAAATTGCCTCACTGTTTCTATGCTTTCCATTTTTTAATTGAAATTTTTTGAGATAAATATAGATTCACATTCGGTAATAAGAAGTAACAATCCTATCTACCCTTTACTTAATATCCCCCAGTGGTAATTTCTTATGAAACTGTAGTATAATATCAGAACCAGGATGTTGACATTGGTATAATCCACTGATCTTTTTCAGATTTGCCTAGTTTTACTTATACTCATTGTGTGTGTCTGTGTGTGCATATTTTGTTCTGTATAGTTTTATCACATGTGTAGGCTTACATATCCACTACCATGGTCAAGGTACAGAATATTCTCATCACCACAAAGATTTCTCATGTTGCCCTTTTATAACCAGCCTTCTGACCTCCGGTCTCCCAACACTAATTTGCTCTTTGTTTTTTCATTTCAAAAGTTTTGTCACTTCAAAAATTTTATATAAGTGGAATCATAGAGTATATAAACTTTGGATATTGACTTACCACTTGGCATAATTCCCTGGAGATTCATCCAGGTTGTTGTGTGTCAATCATTTGTTCCTTTATATTTCTAAATACCATGGTATGGATGTACCACAGTCTGTTTAACCATGACCTACTGAAGGACACCCCACTGTTTCAAGATTTTTGCTATTCTGAATAAAACTGCTGTGAACATTCATGCACAGGTTTTTCAATGCTCTGCAATAAATGCCTGAGTGCAGTTGGTAGGTTGTATGGTAATTATATGTTTACTTGTATGAGAAACTGTCATAATGATTTTCCAGAGAGGCTGCACACTGTTTTATATTCCAACCAGCAATGTATGATCTAGTTTCTCTGTATCTTCGCCAACATTTGGTGGTGTCCAGTATTTTGTTGATTTTAACCATTCTGATAGATGTTTAGTGATATCATTATAGTTTTGATGGCTAACGATATTGAATATCTTCTTTATGTGCTTATTTGGCATTGCTGTATCCTCTTTGGTGATATTTTGCATCTTTACTCCCTCCTCCATTTACTTGTTTTTAGTCTTTGGGGTGGGGCAGGATTACTGATAAATTACCTATGAAATTTGTTATAATATACTTAGAGAGGAGGAAACAGATCTTCAGACTGAAATAGAAAATGTTGCTTACTAGGGTTCTCAGCTCTGTACTAGAATCTCCAGGAATACGAAAATGAGTAAGACAAGAACCTTAGTTTTGAAGTTCTAAAACCATCTGGCACTTTTAACTGGAAAGAGAAGCAGAAAATATGTGGAAGTCTGAGACTTCCAAATTGCATGACTTCAAGGAATGATATTTTCATGGACATCATAAAGGTGGCGCCGAATGATGGAAAGATCCTAGCAGACACAAATCAAGGACTCAGATTCATCTAATATGAGTAAAGCATGCAAAAATGTCATTGAACAGAGATGACTGCCCAGAGCAACACTGGGTGACATAGTAGCAGTCCTAATTAGAGGACAAGTACCCCTGGCATTCACAACCCACAAAGACTCTCAGCTGCCAGTGAGAACAATGACTGAAGTGAGACTTCTAACAGGCTTTTCAAGAAGCTTGTTCTGTCCCCTCTCTCCGATTTCTTGAGCTTCCTACCTGTTCCAGAGAATATGGATCTGTGCCTAATTGATCACCAGTTGCAAGTACCTGGTGCCAATCCCAGCACATTCCTGAGTGCATAATTTGAGTTTAGGTAAAGGATATTTCTTTCCAAAAATTGTATTTTTACTAGCAGCCCTGGGTCTCAGGCAGTCTATTTCTGCACTTTTCTGCAGAAATTAATGACCCAAATCCTTCGATTCAGTATGCACTTAGTGATGGTGTAAGAAGAAAAATCACGCAATAGAGAAGATTAGAGAATACGCACACACACACACACACACACACACACCCCACACACACCAAATTTATCATATGATGACATTTAAAATCAATGGGAAAAAGATGGACTATTGAAATCATCTGGAAAATTCTTACCTCATGCTATATGCAAAACCAAAATCAGTTGGATTAATGATCTAAATTTTAATTTTAAAAGGTGTGTATATAGTAAAGGAATTTAACATCTTTATAATTTGTAAGACTGAGGTGGGGTACAGCAGGAGGCCTTCTGATGAAAACATGTAACTCAGAAGCTGTAAACAGAACAGGTACAGATTTGATTACATAAAAGTAAAAAAAAAAACTAATAAAAAAGTACAACAAATAGTTGAAAGAAAACAGAAAATGTTGTATATATGTGTGTGTATATGTGTATATATTTTACACATACCCTTGCACAACTCTTTTTCTGTGGTACAGACATATATTTTTATCTAATAGTAAGTTATTATTTCCAGTATACAAAGAGTTTATATAATTCAATACAAAAAATGCAAACAGAAAATAGATAAAGAATAAAAACAAGCAAATCATGGGAGAATACCAATAACCAATAGACATATACTCTCCCTAGTGAGTAACCAAGAAACTAGAAATTAAAACAATGAAAAGTTGACACTTAAAAATTCATCAGTAGGCAAAAATTAAAAACAATATTTGGTATTTATTAGATATAGGAAAAGGGCTATTTCTGACATTTTTGCTGGGCATATAAACTGATACAGCCTTTTAATGAAGATGGAATTTCTCAGATTCAGTATCTCTTGAAATTTAAAATGCTCATACCCTTTGATACAGTGATTCCACCTTTAGAAATCTGCACCATAGAAAAATAGAGGTGTGCAAGGGTATATGTGCTGTGATATTTATTGCAGCCTTATTTGTAAGTAGCAAAAAGCTATAATCAACCTAAAATATCTAGCAATATGGAAATGTTAAAAAAAAAAAACAAAAAACTATGGTGTGGTCATGCAATGAAATATAGTGAAGGCATTAAAAGGCACTAAATCTATACCAGTGACTTGGCAGCACGTGGCAGGATGCCCATGAGTGAAAATATCCACTCTAGGAGCATATGTATATATAGTAGAATTTAAGCAGGGGCGGGGGTGGGGAGGAGGTGTATATGTGTCTATGTATGTATATGTGTTTGTGTGCCAAAAATCAAAAAGTCTAAAAAAATGCACTCTGGCCTGTTAAAGATGGTTACAAATCTTAGGTATAGAAGTGCTGGGATGAGGGGAGTTTTATTTTTTCTTTTGTGTGTTTGTGCAATATTTGTAATTTTTTACCATCAAGATAGAATTATTTTATATTAAGAAAGAAAGGAAATTATAAATGCTAATCAAACCAATTGTTGACCAAAAAGAAAGAATTAGGTTGAAAGAATTGATGTAATAGAAGGTACAGATACCTATGCCTACTGAAAATTAAAAAAACAAAACAAAATAGAAAAATATTTTTCTTGCTACTATATTAATTTTCTGTGTCTGGGATATTTATTTATGTGATTTCTTTCTGGTTATTTTATTGTGTTTAATTGATAGTGTTTACTGGAGTTTAGTGAAAAATATTTTGTAAATATCTCCAGTTGTAATTTATCCATTGTAATATCTCCCCAGTGAACTGACTGTGAGTACGGAATTACAGAATTATCTGTAAAGGAGATACAGATCTTGAAAGTAGTCTGGGGCTTTGCTTATCTCCACAGAAAACCTTATTTCTTATTGATAAAGTGTGAAATCTTTCCTTAGTTATTTCTGATTGTTCATTGTTGTCACTGTTTTAATGAGAGTAGAAATGAGCTAAACCAACCTGCTTCTTCCTTCTAGTACTAATTTAATTTCAAAGGAAATTCTTCAACCCCAATAAATAAGTGAACGTGAATGGAACCATGCTCTGACTCACTGTGTCCAATTAATTGCTTCTAAACACCAAGATATGTTCTTTTAAAAGCCCTACACAAAATGAAAAAATCAACCAGTAAAAAAATGATTAGGTGAGAAGTGAGATGACTATCATCATCTCTGCTTACAAAACTCTATAAAGTTGACATAAATATTTGACATCTGCTCTATCATAAAATCAAGATTTATTGTAGAAATATACCAAAGATAGCACAATAATGAAGAAAACAGAATCATCTCAGATTTTGAAATATACCTAACAAATTCAACCTCTTGCAAAATAACTTTCTTATTCAAAATGGAACTGGGAATTGTTCAGCACACAATGAATCATCTTTTGGCACATACAATAGAATCTTTAGGGACATTTCACAGCCTCTTGTTCAATTGTTAGGATGTTTTTAGCTTTCACAGGTAGGGAAGAAGGTAGCTTGTATAGCCATCATCTTGTTGCTAAAATTGTACAGTAAAGATTTTTCAGGCAATAGATCTTTTTGCATTTTTTTTTCCTTTTTCTTTATCCAGAGCTGCTTTGTCTCTCAAAAACAATCTGGAATTACTTAATGCTAATGTTTTCTGGTTTTACTATTTACCCAGAACTCAAATGTTAAACATTAATATGGGAAACTCCCTTTTCCTTGCCTCATAGCCTTATATTTATTTAACTGTTATTTTGCAAGAAGAAAATCTCCTCTTTTCCTCTCTATGTTAATACTTTTCTTATTAACGAATTCATTTTGTTTCTGTTTTTGCTTTTTTTCAGGAGGCTTTTGAGCTACCCTCAGATGATTGTGAAGTGATTGAAGCTCCAGAAGCATCGCAAGTGATTAAATATGAATATCATGTCTTATATTCCTGTAGCTACCAAGTGCCTGTACTTTACTTTAGGGCAAGCTTTTTAGGTAAGACCATGTCTAAAGCTAAAAGTAAATTTATAACATTTACATATAAAGCAAAAAGCATATTTGGAAAATTATTCTCCAGAGGGAAAGAAAAATAGAGTTAAAAATAAGAAAACTGTGGGTGAGGTAAGGTTTTACCAGTAAATTTTCGCATGCTTCAGAAAGGGTATCAAGACTTCAGCATGAATTATATCATCCTAGCCTTAAGTCTGATCTTCAGATTCTTGGCCTTTTGCCTAAAGTTGACTAAGCCCCCTGGCCCTTTTCCTTTTCTTTACTTTAAACAAGTAGGAACAACTTAAAGATACAATGTTTATTTACTTCTAACTTTACAGTAAAAATTTCTTTTAATCTCAAATGATCCCATCAACTCAGAAGCCCCTGTGCCTGCTTCCCTACAAGCTAATAATTATTTTAAGAAATGTTTATCAATTAGCTTAAGCTGTATTTAAAAATAGCACTAACATTTCCTTCAGCCATCTATACATCTCCAATGCCTTAGCTTCCTGTGATGCTGTTACTCAACTCATTCCCCTGCCAAGAAGGTGGAACACCCTGTCTCCTTGGAGGCCTTAGCTAATAAAGCTTATTTAATCAGCAGCCACATGGCGTCCTCACCCTGCAGCACAGCCATGACTCCCTGCTTGGAGTTCACTGCCTAAACCAGGTCAGCATTGGGATGTGTGCTGCCACCCAGGCCCAGGGACCAAGATGAGCCTCCTGTTCAGCCAACCCCCTGCCCTATTTCTCCTTTTGTATCTGCCCTTATCAGCAGCGTTGTTCATTTTGAACAGCCTTCTAACTTTTTTTCTGGATAGCTAAGACATCTGAATTTAGCCAATGATATTTTATTTTTAATTAAAAAGTAGCTTAAGCTGCTTGAATATGTGTTTGGTAGATTTAATCACTTGCTGCCTTATATTGTTTAATGGTCTCTAATTTTGCAGTGTTGGCGGTTTAACAAGCACTTAGGATTTAAAACACAAGAAGAAATTCTCATAGACTCCCTGGTGAGAAGATTTTAATCTGAAGTGCAGTTCCTAAGAACTGACAATTTGGGGCAAATTTTCAACATGGGACATGGGGAATGGAAGACACTGATAGTTCACTAATTCACAAACTCTTTCTGTGGATTTATCCATATAATTATCACAAGACTTTAAAACACTCATTTTACGGTAATTATATTTGGTTTAGAGCCCAGAGGTTAAAGGAGGTTTCTTGTCAGTGAGCTGTGCTTTACTAAAAAGTGGGAAATGTATTTGTTTATTCGGGGGAGGGAAATGTCTTTTCTTGGTTATGGTTTGCAGTGGCTCTACCTTCTAGATTCAGAGATAAGTTGAGGCTGCAGGTAGAGGAAATAGGACGCTACTTCTTCAATACTGTACTTTCATATAATTAGTATTCACCATAAGCAGTTAATCACCAGAGAAGAGCTCCCAGAGACAAAACAACTTGTTTAGCTTGTCAGCATTAGGGAATCAGAGGTGTTGAAACATGACTGCTTCTAGCTGGAAGTGGGTCTTGCCAAGGCCGGCTGATGAGCTCCTATGTGTGCTTTGCTCTTATGTGCCAACAGCTCCCCTTACAGTACAGCACAGTAATTGTTCCTGCAAGTCCAATTATATTTTAATGACATTGGTGTAGTTTCTGTGATCCTTTCTTCATGATTTTCTATTCTTTAAAAACAACACAATTTGTATTCTTGGCTTCTATTTGTATACTTTTAAGATGCCCTCTATTTTTGCCTAATAAAGGTAAACCAAAACAAGTCATTTATTTTTATATAGAAGCGTTCACTTCCCCACGACCACTGCTTTGTGTTGTATGGAGTGGGTATTAAGAATTTAAAAATTCATTTCAGCCCAGAATTCATTTAGTGCTTGTTCAGGTACATTAAAATACTAAATTTAATTTTTGTGAAGCATAATGAACGTTTTCTGGTAGAGAAACATGAAGAATCATTCTGTCTTTCCTTTATCATATACTAATAATTTATTTTTTCTTTCCACCTAACTTAACCTCATAGATATTTTTTAAATGTATCAACCTTTACTCTGGAGTCACAATTTTTCATTTATTCCCCTCAGTCTTTCTTATTCTCCTTACCTTTTCTTGTGATATCTGATTATTCTGGACCTTCATCTGTTTGTTAAACAAATCTCTGTCAGTGTGGTGAAAGGATTCCTAATGTCTTCCTCTTACTCCAGGCCCGGATTTTTCTTTGTCTCATTCTAAGAGAGTTCCGACCTAGAAAGAGGATGACTGTAAAATTTCTTGCCCAGGGGTCTTTTTTTGTTGTTGTTGCTTCAAAAATAGTTCACTTAGCCTTGTTTTTGACAGATATTTATAATTTCTTTTGCATTTCATTGTTAGTAAAAATTAATTTCTCTGCTTTGCTTTAAATTTTTTCCCTGTACCTTTTTTTAAGGAAAAGCAAAACAAGTAATAGTTTCCATTTAAATTTACATTGCCCTTTCTTTTATCAACTGGTTTAGATTTCAGAAGAAATCTTTACTCTGTTTCTCAAAATGCAAATCCCTTAGACTTTGAGTTTCTTTTATTCCTTCATATGGTCCAGTTTCCACCAGGCCAATTACTAGTAGCCCAGCCTCAACTTACATGCCATCTATTCTTGTCACTTCCATGTCATTTTATTATCATATATCATATCATATCATATCATATCTTCTTTCATATCACAAGTTGCGCTATAGCAGAAATAATTGTTTATATCTACAAGATTATATGCTAGAACATAGAGCTTTAAGGTAGAAAAAGAGTGAAGGAAATTGATATTGAGTACCTACAAAGTGAGAAGCTTTATGGCTTTGTGTGTATGCATGTATAAGCCATATACACACACATACATGCATACACACAAAGCCATAAAAGCTTATACATGCATACACACAAAGCCATATACATACACACACACACACACACAGAGCCATATATATGCATATATATATATGTATGTATATGGATTTTTCAACTGTCGCACAGCATCAAGTATTTGTTAAGTGAACCGATAATGAAGAATTTCTAGCATTTAAAAATATAGCCCCAAAATGGAAACATTGTGATAGTGCCCACTTTAACTGTTATGCCAGATTTTAAAAGAGGAAGTAATGCTGGTGTCTCCAGGAGACCTACGACCCAAACCATCTATGTATCTTTATTCTTTAGTCTGATAATTTTCTGAGACTATAGGAGTAGTGGACTTAGAAAAATGGAACATCCTGAGGACTTAAAAGTAGGTATCCAAACTAGCTGAAGCAGCTGTTCCACTTCTATAAACACATATTTTTATTTAATCCTTGAAGGCAGACAGCCAAGTTGAGACAGCATTCTGCTTCAGTAGAAATGAGATGCCTCTCATTTCTACTACCTTGGTGTACAGGAGCTCGGTTACCAAGTGGATAAGAGAGAAATAAGCCCTTCCATCCCAATGTTCTGTTTTTCTCTAACCTTTGGTCATTGTAGGTTTGGGAGAGGTGGTGGTACACAGTTAATACCATTTGTCACTCAGCAGAGGGCGAGATGTAATTGCACTTTTGTTGAGTAATAATAAATAGCCTACACTGTAATAGTGCCTTGTAGTTTAGTAAATCCCCTCCCACAAAGCATTGGCATCTTCAAGTGCATGCTGCTTTTTTTTCCCAACTGTTTTTGAAGCACACCATATTAAAGAATTTTTTGTGTCATGCCAAAGCCTTCTATCCACTCCCTATCATTTTTATTCCCTGCCTTTTTTATGTCTCATTTTCCCTTTTGAGGGCTCAGTTTTGATCAAAACCTGGTGGCAAATGTTACAAAGGTGGTAAAACCCTTAGGCACATACATAATGGCTTTTTGCCTTACCAGAGGCCTCAGCTTAAATATTTTCTTCTTACATTTAGCGAGAGATTTCTATATTTATTTCATCTTGAATTCTGATTCATTTCTTTCTTTTCTTTTGTTCTCAATCTCTGTTGAAAAATGGACCAAGTGGTTCTTCTCGTTTTCAAAACATTTAATTCTCTGGATGATATATGAGTTCTTCCTGAGAGCTGTTTTGACATATTTCTTTAATTAGTCAGAAGGGCTGCATTTGAATAGAGGAGGAATCATGTTTTCCTCCATTCAGCAAAGGAATGGCTGTCCTTTCTGGAGACCATTCTATTATTGGCCTAGGAAATAAGGGTATACAATTAAAAATGTAGCCTAAATATTTCCTGTGAAAGATTTGCCCACTTGTAGGCCTGAAGAATGCTCATAGAGAAACAGGACAAAATAAATAGTCAAAGAATAGTTCCGTCTCAAAGGCAGCATAAACCAAACTAAGATAAAGGCCAGGATAAAGAAAGAATAATGGAAAGTTTGGAATTAAAGCAGCATATAAATCATCAAGGAGGAAAAGGATTGTCTGTGGTTTTCAACAAGAGGAAGTCTTTGGAGTACATAGAGGTGAATGACAGCAAAACAGGAAAGATGGGTGTTGGAGGAAGCTGAAAAATAAAAGTAGAATATACATAGCTCTGTCCAACAACCTGTAGAGGACAGCCACAAGCTGGGTTTCTTGAAGAGGTTAGGAAAAGCATTGGCAAAGGGAAGGAGAGTGAGTGCCAAGCTGTGGAAGTTGAAGAGAGCCCAGCATATTTGGGGAACAGTGAAGGACCAGTTTGGAGAAGGGGTTCACTTAGGATGAATTATGGAAGAAATTGTTGAAAAGATATGTTGAGGTCAAATTATGGAAGAAAAATAGATAGGAAGGGATTGGAAGAAATAAAAAAAAGTGAAAGAGATTGAGTAGAAGTGAATGAGACCAGAGGAAGGATTTCCTAGAAATTGTGACAGAGTAAAACAGAAAGAAAAGGATTAAAGGATGAGAATGAAATTTGAAAAATAAAAAAAGAAATTTGACTTTTTCATTATTGTTGTTATTAACTTTATAAAAATTTAAAAACAATAACCTCTTAGAGACAATGAGTTGGAAAGAACATATTTTCAGGGAAATA